TAACTTTTATTTCTTTATATCCTAATAGTTGGTAATAATAACATTCAAGGATCAGAAAATTGCATTGTTAAATGAACGGTATAAGTACAATTAGAAATATACATATAGCATTTTCTAACAATATCAATTCCAATATATATAACTTGTATACAATATAAAACAATCCAATCCAATGTAAAATACTTAAAACTAGTAATTGTCTTTTTCTTCTTTCTTTCTTTCTCTTTTTTTTAAACAAGAACCTTAAATCTAATCTCCTTTGCTTAGCCTTTTTCCTAACCCTTGACAACAACTTGTAACCAATCCCCTAAACAATGAAAATTATCCCAGACCCAAAACCCATTAAAAAGACCAAAAAAAACACCTGCCCCACACCACCTCTTTGGGAATGTGGGCGTCGTATTCTTAAAATTGCTTCCTGCTGGGTATGGGCGAAGTTATCTTTATCCTGAAAGAAAAATTTTAGGTTAATTGTCAAATTCTAGGAAAGGTAACCATATCCTTCATTATCCAGTCTGTGTATAATGCCAAAGTTCAGGGTTTATCTCAAGTCCTTATTCAAGTAGTCTTTGAGACTGGATTATCTCAGCTAGTCATCTCAAAATTACTCTGAGCACCTTGTAGTTCAAAGCTGATCTGTAGATGATGTTTGTCAGCTTAGTGATATTATTATTGTCCACGTGGAATTGTTGTTGTTGTGGGGCCCCAACTTCTTTCTGGAGACTTCAGTTGATGTTAGGCCTGGCCGTGATTTTCTGCAGAAAACCATACGCCGTTTCACTCTGTTTCCTGGGATAGATGATTTGTCCCTTTTCTTAGGTTGTCTCATTTTCAATTTTCCTCTCTGTCCTTCTGGACCTATACATTCGAGCCATCTTGCACTCTGTTTCACCTGAGATAATGTCCCAATACCTAACAGTTGAACGTTTACCTCCTGAAGAGGCCAAGTTGGATGCCAAAATTCTGGTGCAATTATGGTAACGTCCGCACCTGTGTCTACCAGACCAGACAACAAAACACCATTTATTTTTATCGATAATTTTGGTCTTTGTTCATTAATAGAAGTTTGCCAAAAAATTTTCTTTATGTTTTCTCCTGAATTTTCTATTCTCTCTGTTTCATCATCCTGACCAGCATGACTTATTCCAATAGGCATTTGGTTATTTAATTGCTCTGAGTAGGGGTTTCCTCTATGACTGCAGGAAAGGTTTGAACTGGATTTGCTATTGGGGCCTGCATGAGGCCCCTCTGGGAGTTTCCCGAAGACTGAGGCAAAGGATTACCCTGTCTGTCCCTTGTTGATCTACATTCATTGGTCCAGTGTTTTCCCTTACCACACCTTCTGCATACTCCAGAAGGAAGGGGCATTCTGTTGCCATTGTTCCTTGAGGAAACATTGTTTCTAGGAATGACCTGTTTACAGTCCCTTTTCAAATGTCCTTGCTTTCCACATCCAAAACATCTAACATTCCTCAAACCTCTTGAAATTGCTTCTCCTACCCACATATCATCATGCTCATGAGTTTCAACATTAACTGTGTCTCTAATCCAATCTTCCAAAGGTGCAGATCTTGCCTTTAACGGCCTGATTATTGTTTTGCATGCTGCATTCGCATTCTCAAAGGCCAAAGACTCAATTATTATCTTACTAGCTTCTGAATCCGGGACCATTCTCTTTACTGCTGAAGCCAGTCTTTGTAAAAAATCTGTGAAAGATTCTTTTGGGCCTTGTACAACCTTTGTAAATGACTCAGTTTTTTTTTCTGGTTCCTCAACTCTGTCCCATGCATTCAAGGCTGCTGTTCGACATAAAATTAGGGTTTGGACATCATATAAACATTGTGCTGGTGCTGAAGCATATTGACCTTCTCCCATAAGCTGATCCTGGCAGACTTGTATTCCTTTATCCCTCCACTGTTTTTCTATGTTTTTAGCTTCATCCTTGAACCAAGTTAGCCACTGAAGCCTTTGACTGGGTTCCATAACAGCTTGTGCCAGCTCCTGCCAATCCTGAGGTACAATCCTATTATATGTTGACCAAGAGTTTAACATTTGCTTTACATATGGGGAATGCATGCCATATGATACTATTGCCTCCTTAAACCTTCGTAAATCCAACATTTCGATTGGAGCCCAAATATTTTGTGTAGTCATTTGATCAGGCAACTGCTGTACGGTTACTAGACAAACTAAGGGTGACTGTGTGAAAACAGGCTTTCTTTCTGTAACCATATGATCCAATCTTGAAGCAACTTCACTGTTAGTTTCTTCTGTCTGAGTTTTTACAGGTGTATCAAGTTTTTCCAAAGCTGTCACCCTGGCACTTAAATTGACTATCTTCTTAAATAGTAAAATAAGAATAAATATAGTAATAAAATGCATAATTCTATCAACATTAATCTTCTCATATAGCTGTTCCATTGTCAGACTGTCTAAAATTGCAAACAAAGCCCAATTTTCTTCCAATGAACACAGAAAACCCATTTTTTTTTAAATGTGGAAAAAATTTCTCTGTTAAATAGTTTCCTTTAAAATATTGGATAACTAAGTCCTCATAGAACAGTACAAATCCGAGGGAATTTCAAAACAACCACCTAGTGTCCGAGGTGTAAATCCAGCTCAGCAGTTAAACGGTTTTTAATGGATTCTTGTCACATTGGGCGCCAAATGTAGATGTAATTCAGTGGTCTTATTAAACAAGAAACACAGAGCCAATTCAGAGAAGAAAGCCAAGAGGTCAGAGTCAAGAGCCTCACCCTTCCTGATTCAGGGATCCTCCTCAGGCCAGAGAGCTCTCCGAAAGAGAGCCCTACTTCCTGTGTGTCTGTCTCTATAGTCTCCTTGTTCTGGCTTCTCATTGGTTGTAAACCCAATCATGTGACTGCCTCGTCACTGCCTGTATGTACCGCCCTCCAGGTCCTTAAAGGCGTACACCACCACTGCCACACACTTGCTATGGCTCTAATAGCTCTGACCCCAGGCAACTTTATTTCACATTTAAAATACCACCACAGTAGCCTGCCTTTCTTTGTTTGTTTGCATCTGTTTAAAATGTACAGGCTCCAGGTATGGATATTTCCCTTACAATGTGAGGCAAAATCCAATCAGCTCTCTTCATAAATTTGATTTCTATCACTTTTTTAAATTTGCTGTTAGTATCTCCCCAAAAATTACTGCAAGCTCTTTGCCAAGATTCACTTTCTGCCCATAATTTGTCAATGTCCTCCTTAGTTAAGGGTATGACAATTTCTGCTGGGTCTATTCCTGCTAATTGATGAAGCCTCAATTTTCCTTTTAAAATCAAGTCAGAGATCTTTTCCACATTAGTTTTCAATTTTTTACTCTGTTTATTTGGTAGAAATATCCATTCCAATATAATATCTTCCCTCTACATTAAAATTCCTGTAGGAGAATTCTTAGAGAGTAAAAAAAAAAATTCAATCAAGCTTTGGATCCACACAACCCACATGTCCTTCCTGTACTTTCTTTTCCACCAAGGCCAATTCTGTCTCAGCCTGAGGTGATAATTCTCTTGGACTGTTTAAATCCTTGTCACCTTCTAAGGTTTTGAACAAATTACTCATTTCATCATGTTTTACCCTAGCAACAGTTCATAGATTGGAAATGTCTCCAAATAATCTTTTTTTTTTCTTTTTTTTTTTTTTTCCAGAGCTGAGGACCGAACCCAGGGCCTTGTGCTTGCTAGGCAAGCGCTCTACCACTGAGTTAAATCCCCAACCCCACCAAATAACCTTTAAAAGTCATTAAGAGTCCATAATTGATCTCTCCTAATTTGCACCTTTTGGGATCTATTTTTTGTAGACCTATTTTATATCTTAAATAATTAATAGACTCTCCTCTTTGTATCTTTTCGGGAGCAATTTGTAATCCTGAACAAGGCAAAATTTTCATTACTTTTGGGAATCTGTCAGGAAGAGTGGTACTGACCCTCCCCACTTCTGACAGTGGCTAACTCAGGCACCTATTATTTTTCTGAAAAGCTGTCATATGCCATATGTCACATGCCAAATATTGTTTTAAACACTGCCTGAATATTTATGTATTTACCTTCCATCCAACAGAATAAGGGACCGCATCAACATCCTCAGTGATAAGAACTGAGGCAAATATTACATGTGGAATTTAACAGAGATTATAAATTTATTATAATCTGAGGTAATTATTTCTTAAGCAGATCATTTCTCTTGTGAGAGGAGGGGATGTCTTTTGTCTGGTTTTAGACAGTGCCATTAATTAGAATTATATTCAAACTCAGTCCCAAGATCTTGATGTTGAGCTTGAAGAAGAATGGCTAGCTAGCATTCAATGTACTAACAGGCACTCTTGAACTAGCAGCCACTAATCTGATCATGTCCACTTAGTTCTAAGCCCATTCTCTGAGCAGCAGAGGTAGGTGGAGGGTGAGGTCCACAGAAATTTTCTACATGTTCACACAAGGATCCTGTGGTCTGTGTGTGTTCCCACCTTTCTCTCATACTCTATTCCCCAATTATCTTGCAATGCTACACAATTCACTTTCAGTGTCATTTCTACAACCTAGAAGGAACAGGCAGCATGCACATGCATGCAAAAGCAAGCTAAAACTCATTCTACATGCATGCCCTGGAAGCAAAGTTTAATTTCACAAGACCTTTCACAACCCTGTTCACAGTGGCTCCCTCGTTCCTCATCTTTGGGCCACACCCACATTTTTGTGCACCACAGCAAATACCACCTATCTCAGCAAGAGGTCATAAAGCCCAGAGCAGTCAGTCAGGGAGGGAAAAGCCTATAGCACCCATCTGGAGAGGAGCGTGTTGACGTCAACCTTGAGGAACATGGAGAAGTGTGGAACATGCGCAGAAGGACACGTTGACGTCACCCTTTCCTCAGGCCTCTCTTGATGCCTCATCAGTAGTAGACATGACCCAACAATAGGCCTTGAGTGTCGTCATTCCTGGGGCCCCACTTCTCTCTGTGGCTTCTGCCCACTACTAGTCATGGCCCGCAAGGTCCATTGGCAATATATATACGTTGTGAGGAATGAGAATGGTGAGGAGATAGCTGAGGTCTCCACCTTAGAGGCTGCCTTGGCCATGGTGGGTGGCAACCCTAGTGGAGGTGACGCAGGCTGCGTAATGGAACTAAATAACGGGGTCCGCCAGGTCCGTGAGAGCCAAAACGACTCTGAGGAGGGCAGTAGGGACCCGAACGCCTCTTCCTCGGAGCCTCACCAGGAGGACCCAAGACCCTCAGCCGAGCCTGTGATTCGGATTCCGAGGCGCCGTTCATCACGAAGGCGACGGCGAACCACATTCCTGTTCACACTGGGGCAGGTCGAGGAAATGGAAAAATTGTTCAAAGAAACTCAGTACCCAGATGCGCTTGCCAGGTATGTGTCTTGCACCAGGAGCTATCCCCAACCTCCCTGTTGTCTCAGGTTGAGGTGTCCTTTTGTTCATCCAGGCCCTGGGTTTCCTATCATCCCTCCCTAAGCCACTGCTGTCTTCTCCCTAGGTGGTGGGTACAGGAGGGTGCCTTGTGTAGGGGTAAAAGTCAGTATTAGCGTGTAGGGTTGGCCCAAAACAAGTGCACATAGTCAACACCACTCATTTCGAGTCATATTCTAATTACTGTAAAATATAGAAACATGAGTATAGTGTGGCAAAATACTCACTAGTGTAAAGTTCACCAGTGTTAAGGATTTACACTTTGTTGGGTGACCTCCTCACCAGTAGTCTCGTCATCTTTTCAGGGACTGTGTACCTATCCATTAACTCCTTTCACTTTCCCTTTCCCTTCCCTTGGTGCTGTTTTTTAAATTAGTATAATTTGCTCGGCATACACTTCGGCATCTATTTTTAATTTTTAATAGTGTGTTAAAATTATTCATCTGCATTGTTTAAAAACTTTCGTAAGAGGCAAAACCATTTCAAAAGCAAGACTAGTTCTGAGAATGAAAGTTAAAGGGGGGGTTGAGGGAGGATAGCAATATTAAAAAAGCGTAGAAATCATATATGACTTTGCATTTCATGTAAAACACTGCACGCTAAACTTTGTGGTTTTCTTTCCACAGGAAAGAACTTGCAAAAGCTTTGAATGTGACTGAAGTCAAAGTGAAGGTCAGTAAATCCAAGCAAAGACATTGAACAGTCAATCTATAGCCTTCCTCCGGTCTTGGGAAGCCTTGTCCTAGGCACTTTTTTTGTTTAAGATTTTTTTCATTTTACATACCAACCACTGTTTCCTCTCCCTCCCCATCTCCTGCTCTCACCTCTCACCTGCCCCCCCACTCCCACATCCACTCCTCATAGGGGGTAAGGCCTCCATTGTGAGTCAACAAAGCCTGGTACATTCAGTTGGGGCAGGACCAAGCCCCTCCCCCCTGCATCAAGGCTGACCAAGACATCCCACCATAGGGAATATGCTTTAGAAAGCCAGTTCATGTACCCAGGATTGGTCCCACTGTCAGGGACCCCACAAACAGACCAAGCCACACAGCAGTCACCCACATTCAGAGGGCTTACTTAGTTTGGTCCCATGCAAGCTCCCCAGCTGTCAGTTCAGAGTCTGTGATCTCCCACTAACTTGGGTCAGCTGTCTCTGTGTTTTTTCCCATCATGGTCTTGATGCCCCTTGCTCATGTAATCCCTCCTCCCTTTCTTCAACTGAACTCCAAAAGTTCGGCCAAGTGCTTGGCTGTGGATCTCTTCATCTGCTTCCATCAGTCACTGGATGTAGGTCCTATGATGACAATTAAGGTAGTCACCCATCTGACTACAGGAGAAGGCCAATTAAGGCACCCTCTCCACCATTGCTAGGAGTATAAGCTGGGGTCATCCTTGTGGGTTCTTGGGGATTTCCCTAGCACCAGTTTTCTCCCTAACCCCATAATGGCTCCCAGTGTCAAGATATCTCTTTCATTGCTGTCCCTTTCCAGCCCTACTCCAACTTGGCCCTCCAGATCTCTCATGTTTCCACCCCCCATCTCCACCCTTCTACCCCCTTCCCAGTTTACCCAGGAGTTTGTATCCATTTTCCCTTCCTGGGGTGATCCATGCATGTCCGTCTTAGGGACCTCCTCTTTACCTAACTTCTCTTGGGTTGTGGGTTGTAGCCTGGTTATCCTTTGCTGAGAGGCTGATGCACTGTATCTCTAAAGAGGCTGATAAACTGCAGCTCTAGAGACTGATGCACTGCAGCTGTAGAGAGGCTGATACACTGCAGCTCTAGAGAGGCTGATGCACTGCAGCTATAGAGAGGTTGATGCATTGCAGCTCTACAGGCTGATGCACTGCAGCTCTAGAGAGGATGTTCCACTGCAGCTCTAGAGAGGCTGATGCACTGCAGCTCTAGAGAAGCTGATGCACTGCAACTCTGAAGCTCTAGAGAGGCTGATGCACTGCAGCTGTAGAGAGGCTAATGCACTGCATCTCTAGAGACTGATGCACTGTAGCTCTAGAGATGCTGATGCACTGTAGCTCTAGAGAGGCTAATGCACTGCAGCTCCAGAGACTGATGCACTGTAGCTCTAGAGAGGCTGATGCACTGCAGCTCTAGAAAAAATGATGTACTGCAGCTCTAGAGAGAATGTTGCACTGCAGCTCTGGAGAGGATGTTGCACTGCAGCTCTAGAGACTGATCCACTGCAGCTCTATAGATTGATGTCCTGCATCTCAAGAGAGGCTGATGCACTGCAGCTCAAGAGACTGATGCACTGCAGCTACAGAGAGAAGGTGGACACAGGATACAATAGACAACACCCATGGTCTCCTGTTTGTACACTCTTGAGTGTGAATTTCCCAAAGCCTCATATTTTATTTCCCCTTTCCTCTTACAAACGTAATAGATGGGCTTTAGGAATCAAACACAGGGAACTCTGACTTAATGTGAGACCACATGAGTCAGCCACTGGGGCTTTATTTGAGTTCATGGAGGCATCAGGATGGTAGTAGGGCTTCTGGTCCTTTGGTTGGTCTTCTTTAGACTATACATCCACATAATAGGTAGGGAAAGAAAGGACATGGAGGCACAAATGTACAGTTTGAGAACTTCCCAATACAATGGACCTTCATTTCACTAGGAGCCTGAGAGGATGGTGACATCTAACAGGTTACTGTGACTGTATTTCCATAGCTAGACCATATTTAGGAAGAGCTGATTTATGACTACTTTCCCCACACTGTTGTGGACCATCTTACTCTTTGCCTTTTGAAGAAAGATGGGCTTTAGATGTCCTGGTGACACAGCAGTTCCTAGTGTGCCCTCTGTGCTGGACAGGATTCTGGAAATATAGGTGAAACAATGATATTATTCTTCGTCCTGATCCTGGAGAACTTTTTATAGCATGAAAGAATATACTGTTCAGATTTACCATGGGTGGAAGTCATGCTTTCAGCTGAACTCCTGGAGATGGTAAAGGTTTCGGTGTCCTGTATGTCATTAGGTTAAATGTGTCAACCTTCACAAACCCTGGAGGCTTTGATGTCAAACCATTGTCCAGGCCTTCTCTGCCTACCACCTGTTCGCTCTCCAGAAATTTCAAGCACCAACAATCCCATTGGCACCCTTGAAGGCTATTTTGTTTCTAAAAATCTCCCATGCTTGTTTCTGTTGATTAATTACTTCATACTGAAGATTGCTTTTGCAAACAGAAAGCTGTTCCCGTCCATAGGCCTTTAAAATGTGCTAACATTTGGTGATCTACAATCTCTGCCCAAACAAGAGGAATGGATCACTAGTGAGGAGGGTATTCTACAGCTGATGGAAAAATGTCAGAATGAAGACTTTCCTTTACCCAGTTACCATATATTGAATTAATATCAAGGAACTGGAACAAGCTGTTATCTAAGCTTTCCATCCATTAGAAAAGAAACCACTGAAGTGTCTATACTGCTGGAAAAAAAGACAAAATCATGGCCTATTACAGAAGTTGACAGACAGCTGGTATTTGCTTTTATGAGCTGAATAGAAAGTCAGTGTTATGTGTCTTAAAGTGGTTTTTATCTCTTGGCTCTGGGGTGGAAGCCAATGCTAACTCCAATCCTGCCTTCCTCTAATTTTAGACATGGTTCGTCCATCGGAGAGCAGAAGAGAGGAAGAGTCAGAGGCGTGTAGTAGTACAGAGCACACCTCCTCGTATCGAAAAGGTCCTTCTCATTATCGATAGGGACGACTATCCCTAGAGTGCAATCTTTGTTCAGGAGCTAGAGGGATATCTGGTGACACCTGTACTCAATGTCCAGCTTCACTAAAATTCAGCACTCATGTTAACAATAAAAACATGAATTTCCAAGTTATTTAATTTCATATGCTTTCGGGGGTTTTGCAGGATATATATGTATGCTCCGGAAAATGCCATTTAAACAAAATGTCAAGTTCTGTTTTTTTGGGGGGTGACATTTCTAAGTCATGAGTATTGTTTGCACAGATGACTATTCCCTACACATGGTAATTGTGAAACAGTGGATCACTTAAACCTTCTTGATTCAGGCTCACTTGATCCTTTGAACAAGGGATTCAGTAGTAACCCTGAAAATGGGGAATCTAAGGAGAAGGTGGGCACAGAAAGTATTGATGCTGATGATTACTTTTTATTTGGGGAGGGGTCACAACAATTCTTTTTTTTTCTTTTAATGAAAATAGATTTTTATGTCACATAATATATCCTGATTATGGTTTCCCTTCCCCCTACTCCTCTCAGTTCCTCCCCCCTGACCCACTCATCTGGATATATCCCCCTTTCTGTCTCTCACTAGAAAACAGCTCAAGTGGGTGAGAGCCACCCCCAGGCCAGCCTGGGTCCTCAAGGCCTGGGCTGCCTAAAGACATTGACAGGGGGAGGGTGCCATTACGATGAGCAAATGTGTGGTGGAGAAATGGGAGAAAAAGAGAGGCAGAATGGTTCATGTGTTGTGGAAAGAGGTGGAACGGAAGAAGCAAAGGTGGTGATGAGCCGGCTGAGGTGGGTGGTCTGCTTGTCACCCAGGGAAGTGATGACACCTGGGCCCAGGCTGCTGCAAAGGGCCATGTTTGGGTCCGAGGTCCTACTGCAGCTGGGGTCTGTGTTGACATCCATGGGCCATGTTGCGACCAAAGGCCACAGGATGCCCAGTGTCTGGGCTGCCACCTGTGGACTGGTAGGTGTTGAAAGACCATGCCACCTCAGGGGCTATACTGATATGAGCGACCTATGCTTCCACCCTGTGCCATGGTGACATCAGGGACTGAGCTGCAGCTGAGGACCATGTCTGGGTCCATGCCCTTACTGCAGCCTGGGTCTGTGTGTTGATGTCCATGGCTCCTGCTACCATTGAAAGCCATGCATATGTTTGGGGTCTGGGCTGTCACCTGGGGCCGTGTTGGTGTCCCTGGATCATGCTGCCTCTGGGGCCATGCCAATCTGAGTGCCTGTGCTGCTACCTGGGGCCTTGGTGACATCCAGGCCATGTAGCTGCCTAGGACAATGTCTGGGTCCATGTCCTACTGTAGCCAGTGACTGTGTTAAAGTCTGTGTCCTGTGTTGCCACCTAGGCCACATGGATACCCAGGGTCTGTGGCACAACCTGTGGACTTGTTGTCCAAGCCTCCAGAGCCATGCTGATCTGAGTAGCCTATGCTACTCAGGTGTCATCTGGGCCCAAGTAGCTGCTTAGGGCCATGTCTAGGTCCGTGTTCCTATGGCAGCCATGGTCTGAGTTGATATCCATGGCTCCTGTTACCACCAAGGGACAAGAAGATGTCCTACGTCTGGTCTGCCACCTGAGACCATGTTGGTGTCCCACAGCCATGCTGCTGCTCTGGTTGGCCTGTGCCACCACCTGGGGCCGTGGTATGTCAGGGCCCAAGCTTCAGTCTAGGGCCATCTCTGGGTCCATGGCCCTACAGCAGCCAGGGTCTGAGTTGATGTCCATAGCATCTGTTGTCACCATGGGCTATGCAGATGCCCAGGGTCTGGTTAGTCACCTCAGACCATGTTGGTGTCTGAAAGCCATGCTGCCTGCTGCTGTGACCAAACTGATCTGAGTGACCTGAGCTGCCACAGGGGACATGGTGACATCTGGGCCTGAGATGCTCTGGAAGGTCACATCTGGATCTGTGGTCCTGCTGCAATTGGGGTCTGTGTTGATGTCTGTGGCCCTTGTTACCATAGGGGGCCATGTACAATGAAATCCAAGGGTGGTGCTAAGCCGGCCCTGCCCTTCATTGGATCTAGGAAAGCTGGCCCTGCCCCTCAATAGACACTGCTGCAAGAGGGCTGATCTTGACCCTCATAGGAGAGCTGGCCCCCTGCACTCAGGAGAGATGGCCCCACCCCTCAACACAGGCATGAGAGAGCTGGCCCTGATGCCATGGGCATAGGAGAGCTGGTTCCACCCCTCGCCTGAGAGGCGTAGCTCCAGTATTCAGGACTGACCAGCTCAACTACTACCCAGGTCCATATCCAGGGCCTTGGATTGGCCCACCCTAACATCAACCCCATCTAGGACCTGCTGGAGCATGTGAAGGGACTGGTTCAGTAGATCTCCATGACTAGGGGCAGCCGTGGGATATCAGAGAGGAGTTTCAGTGAGGATCCAGTGATGACGGTGTACCAGAAACCAGAGGCATTGAACCAGACCAATGACTCATTACAATTTTCATTTTCGGATGGGGCTGATTGAACAAAAGGGTATACTGCAGGACACACCGAGGATCCCAATGCCACTCAAATGAATGAAGAGATGTTGAAGAGGCGCGAGAGACAGAGGAGAGATGTGGGTTTTTTGTTTGGTTGTAGGTTTGGTTTAGTTTGGTATTTTTTTTATTTTCTTTTGGGGGAGGGACACTGCAAGGGTGGAGGGAGGATATGGAGGGACTGGGAAATGAGCAGAATTGGGGTGCATGATGTAAAATTCCCAAAGAATCAATAAAGATGTGTGTGTGTGTGTGTGTGTGTGTGTGTGTGTATGTGTGTGTGTGTGTGTGTGTGTGTGTGTGTGTGTGTGTGTGTGTGTGTATGAAAACATACAGGCTTCTAAGGGGCAATAATGAAACAAACTATAGCCGAGCTGTTGTGGTACACACCTTTAATCCCAGCACCTGAGAGGCAGAGGCAGGCCGATCGATCTCTGTGAGTTCGAGGCCAGCCTGGTCTACAGAGTGAGTTCCAAGACTGCCCAGGATACACAGAGAAACCCTGTCTTGAAAAACCCAAAATAATTAAATGAAGAAACAAACAAACAAACAAACAAATAAATAAATGATATCATAATAAGTAAAACAAAAACTAACATGTTAGAATTGAACAAAATGTCGTGGGTCTGGGGTCACTCAGAGATTCACTGTGACATGCATAAATTTAAATTAGCAGAGGCTTTATTAAATAAATACTGGTGCCAGATGCTCATGACAGCAAGACTGCAACTGAGATTGCTCCAAAGTTGCAGCCCCTGGTCATATTAATCCAAGACTTATAAAGCTAAAACCACAAGATTACATGTATTCTGTCTACATGTAAGCATGGTCTAATTTTAACATATATGTCTTGCAGTTGTCCCGGTCATTGAGCAGAGTAAGCAAGTTTGATTACAAAAACAGAAATAGTAGTTAGTCCTATGAGCTATTGTCTTGCTAGAACAGCAGATTTTATAGGATCAGTCAGTTTAAGAACAGTCTTCAATGTCTTGGACAATCCGGGGGAGGGTGAGCTGCTAGGGCACAGCTTGTACAAACTAGAGGCTTGCATGTTTGAAGCACTTTTTAATTTATGGTCTTTCAAGCATAGTAAGTCTAAAATTTATAATGTTAACTTTCACAAAAATGAACAGGAGGAAAAGAGCCCAAGAGAAGGCACAAGAATCAGAGACCCATTTGTTCACACACTCAGGAATCCCATAAAAACACTAACCTGGAAGCAATAATATATATGATGAGGACTGGTGCAGACCCATGCAGGCCCTGTGCATGCTGCCTCAGTCTCTGAGAGTTCACAGGAGCTTTGCTCAGTTGATTTGGAGGGACTTGTTCCCCTGGTGTCCTCCATCCCCTCTGGCTCTTATACTCTTCCTGCCTCCTCTTCTCTGGGGTTCCCTGAGCCCTGAGGGGAGGGATTTGATGGAGACATCCTGTTTAGAGCTGAGCATGAGATACACTGGATTGTTACAGGCAGCTTGATTGGGCTATTTACAGAACTTCAGAAGTCAGAGGCTTCCATGCTGACAAAGGCTCTGGAAGCACTGTCCTAGTGCTGAGATCATGCTTTTCAGGGGAAGTAAACTGTAGTTACTGGTACACTGGCTTGTGAAGTTGAAGTAAAAGGATGTCAAAATCTGCAAGTAACTCAATGAACCCTGATGGTATCCCTGTCCTGTGCCATTAGTGTTATCCCCATTTCATGGTTAAGGAAGCTGTGAATAAGGCATTTCATTCAGGGTCCCAAGATATACGGAGCTCAGGCTTTGGGATTTAGCTAAATAGAGCTGACACCGCCCATCCCATTTTCTTTTTTCTCAGCTGCTTCTTTCTTTACCTTCTGCTCTCTTCCTCCTCTGAAGTTATGATGCAGAGGTCTCCTAGAAATTGTGTGGTAGTCAGTGAGAGGGAAAACTGTCCTCTGAGGCCCAAGTACAAAAGTCAAGTGCCTTTCCATGGCTCCACATCACCATAAAGACCCCAGCTTCCTGCATTAGCATGCTGCAGACTTGGGGTCTCTGTCTCTTTATCTACACTGACAAACCCATGGACAGCCAAATAGTCAACTTTTATAAACACACAAAATACATTATAAGGCATATGACACCTTTTCTGAAAAAATAGTAGGTGCCTGAGTTAACCACCGTCAAAAGTGGAGAAGGGTCAGTACCCCTCTTCCTGACAGATTCCCTAGGGTTTTCCCTGCTCTTTGAAGTTTGGGGCAGGATTAATAATTCATCCATTTTTTTTTACATTTCTTTTTCTTTTTCTTTATGTGTATATGTGTGTTCATGTGTTTGTATTTCTAAAGGGTCTTATTAATAGAAAACATGGAGCCAGATATGGGGGTGAAAACCTGAGAGAGATCAGAGGAATAGGAGTAGCCACACACTAACCTCACCTCACCAACTCCAAAGCTTCCAAAAGGAGACTTCCTGTCTACCCATGCCTCTATGCCTTGCTGTTCTGCCATCTGATTTGTTCTCTCTGTCCAGCTACATCATTTCCTCTT